CCCACACTATACTATACTACACTACCCCACACTATACTACACTACTCCACACTATACTATACTACACTACACCACACTATACTATACTACACTACACCACACTATACTATACTATACCACACCACACTATATTATCCTACACTACACCACACTATACTATACTATACAATAATAATCCATTACAATTAAAGTTCTGCATTTTATTTTTTTACGTAAATAAAATACAGTGGTATCAACAATAATACATTTGTAAAATCAGAAGTAAATCTACTCATTTCAAAGAGTGGTTCCTTTCATTTTGGTATTAGATTACTATAAGTAGTTATTTAATTGAAGTACTAATGAGTACAAGCAGAAAATACTCGAGCACATTATAAGTCCCTCATCACTGTAGTGAAGTACAGACGGTTGAGTTAAGTAAGTTACCAGTGTGGAAAAGTAACTAAATACCTATGTACAGAAATACTGCTACAACTCTAGGTACTTTCTTTTACTTGAGTATTTCAATTTCACACAAATCTTTTAAGAGAGAGGTGTACTTTAAACTGCACATTTATGTTATAACTACTCACTTTAAGTGTATCACAAAAGCACAACATTTACCATTTATTTTTTCATTTTGCAGCACAAGAGGGGGGGTCGATTATATAACATCATGAAAGTAGACATTCTGAGTACTATCTTCCAAATGCTACTGTACTAACTTACTTTAAAATATTTTGGTAGGATAACTAAATTAAGTAACTCCATTGCTATTACTGTGCAACTTGGAAGAAGAGAGAGCACCAATCACAATGGCATGATGCTTTGGAGTATTTTTGCTTGAAGGGATTAGAAACAGCAGAAATAGCCACTTCTTTAACACTGGTGACTGTAATGTTTATTAAAACGTTATGGTCTTGTGCCTCCCCCCACCTCTCTCACACACTGTGGTTATAATCCTGTTGCAGCTCTCTCTCTGCTCATCTTTCCTCTCATGTAGTAAACCTTGTTAAAAAGCTGTACTCACTCTGTTGACTCTGTGCTCCTCTACTGCATCTTCCCTGCACACAGCAGCAGTCCACACTTTCTGATCCTGTGTGAGAGTGACGCCTGGGACATCTGTTTCAGACCGATCCACTTTCTCTAGGGGGGGGGCTTCACTGAGCTTTACTGCTATTTATTTCAAAGTTAAATATCTCATTAGATTTCTCATACAGTTTTTTTCTGTTTATCAAGGTTCAGAAGAGTTTGTTTTCTATGAAGTGTTTTTTATGGGAGAAAGTAAATAATGTTCTGCTTCTGACCCCCCCCCCCCACACACAGTTTTTGTGAATGGTTCGGTCCAGACACGCTCTAACTATTGAGGTGTTGACACAGCACGCGACTCTCTGAGGGGGCTTTTAATTTGAAAAGACGCTCAGAAGATGAGTGGCCTCAGAGAGAGACATGCTTTGGAAAAAAAAAAATAAGAATAAAAAAAAGACCAGAACAGCTGGCAAGTAAATGTTAGTGTTGAACCAGACCACACTCACAATGAAAGCTATGATGATGAGCCTCCCTCATCCCAGAACTCTTTCAAAGACCATGCAGCAGAGACTAATGTACTTCTGATTACTACACATGCAAATATTTATCCATGCTTGTGTTGAGAGTGTTTCTTGCATTGGATTTCTTTCTCTTTTTCATTAACTTTATTTTTATGCAAAGTTGCCAAAAGCAACTATAGTACTTTTGCTCGGATTCCGCATTTGAGAACTTATTAATTATTTAGTTTCCATTTACCAACAAGACACAATTTAAAATGCCCTTATAAACAGTGATCAATGGTTGATGCACCTTGTTAAGCCAAATGAGGCAGATTTTGATTCGTGAATATGGGCGGTATAAATAAAACTGGTTTTATTAATGGTATCTATCTATCTATCTATCTGTCTAATAGATTGTTTAGTAATATCTTATTGATCAGTTGTGTGTCATTGAACACGATAACATTTCGGTCCTCCTCCATCATGACACATGAGAACCCTCCTAACCATAAAGTCATTAAGAAATGTTAAAGGGTTTCTCATTTTGTTATAAGCTATCAGCAAAATTACTCATCCACTGTAAATGTAAATACAATCAATAGAAAGACTTCTAATAACACATCAAGTTTTTAGATTTGAATAATCTGTTTGTAACTCAATTTTGGTCCAGATGCCCTTTTCCCAAAGGTGACTGGTCAAGCGTTTCACTGGAGGGGTCTCCCTAATGAAAAAAAAAGTACCATATTGGAGGAGGAATTTCCATGACCTGGCAAATATGTGATCTATAAAGCATTAGTCAATGATTTATGAACTAGTAATAGAGCCATTAATTAGAGCTATGAACCCTTTATAGATATAAATGCTGCCTCACCAGAGAGCACCTTCTGCTCCACCACATTTCACAGGGAAGTAT